CACCCTGCATCCAGGTGTAGCTAGCTATATTAGCACATCTTTCTGCCCAGGCTGCAGCACTGACCCCACCACGGGGAAATGAGATGATGCAGTGTGACGTGGTACAAATGGGATCAGTAACACCCTTGATATATTTGTGGGCAGATGAGTCAGAGATCCCACACAGGTCCCCAGTGGCTCCTAAAAGTGCAATGCAGCTGTTACCTTGTCAGCCACTGGGATAAGATGGTCACCCAATCCTTCCTGTCACAGGTCCCACTCCTGCAGTTGGCATAATTCTGTGACAGTATCCTAGGACATCCTCAATCTGCACTGACACGGCACCTTATCTGGAGGAAATGGCATCTTGGCTTCTCACATCAATCTCCCAAATTTCTCATCATAGCTCAATTTATTCAAGGCCAGAGAAGAGTACATCCAGTGTGGTAGCTTATCTGTTAGATTACTTTGTTTTGGTAACTGGCAATAGTTTCTTTTCAGTGCCAAAATTCAGTAATATTTTTTTCATTATGGATGAAGTGAAATTAGGAAACACTTTGGCAAAAGATGGTGGGTGTTTGGAACTCTTTTGCAAGTAGCAAATGATGCTAGACCAATTATTAATTTTCAAGTTGAGACAGAGTTTTGTTAACCATAAGTATTAAAGAATATGGACAAAGGTCAGCCTTGATCTCACTGAATGGCAGAAGAGGTTTGAGAGATCAAATAGCCTATTCCTGTTTGTATGTTATACTGTTAGGAGATGTTATGTAAAATATTACACAGCCAGTTTTGTCAAAACAAGAAAAAAATAGATTTCTTCTTTGTGGAAGAGTCTAATCTCAAAACTGATTTATAGATGGACAAAAATGATAAAAAAAATAGCAAACTGAAGGAGGGATATCAGTGCTTACAAGAAGTTCTGGTACAAGTGGTCAGGCTGTCAAAACCTGCAATAACATTTGCCCAGAAAAAGCACAGAAAGACCATATACCCTAATTCTGACCGGCAGCCAGTCACAGAAAAAACAAACTATGGAACTGATGTTAGATGGATGGGTAAGACTGCACTCTGATCATCAGTGAACTTCATGTAACCTTCCATCGAGTGAACATACAAGCATTGGCCAAATTGGAGATGATTGCTCCACTAATATTAAACAGGTAAGACATTATACGTGAGTCAAGCTTCAGGTACGGACAACAATGGCTCAACATTTGAATTCTTCTTTCCCAGGAGGTAACATCTTCCCAGCTGAACTGCTACTTGACATCTACTAAAATAAAATTGACATTTTGAGCTGTCTATTTTGAGCGTTTGGATAGCTGGACAATTGGCTTGCAATGCAGATGATGTCAAGAGTGTGGATTCAATTCCTGCACCAACTGAGGTTAAAAAGGGGGAGACTGTCAAAGTCATTTGGCAGAATGCCCTGTCACCAGAACTTCCAACAAGTAGCAAAGACATCGGTTGGCTGGTGGTGAGAAGGGCACTGCCTGTGAGATCCTTCATGTACGTACGGACATTCTGCGCCACCACACATTGCCCTCAAAGTGGCTGCGGGGTTGGAGGATGGTGGGTACTGTCACACATCTCCTGCTGGAATGTGCCTTTGCAAAGGAAGTCTGGAGAAAGAGGCAGCGGTTTTTGTCGAGGATCCCAAGTAGCTCCATGATGCAGGATTCCGTGCTCTACCATCTGTTCCCCGGGATGCACACTGAGACAAACATCAACTGCACTTGGAAGACCATCAACTCAGTGAAAGACGCTCCTTGGTCTGTTCAAAACTTGCTAATCTTCGGGAGCAAGGAGTTGACCTCAACTGAGTGTTGCAGACTGGCACATTCAAAGGTCTAGGACTATGTGCTGAGAGATGCACTAAAGCTTGGGGCAGCTGCCATCAAGGTACAGTGAGGGAAAAACAAATGTCTGAGGTCTTTCTGCTAGAGTTAAATAGGGGTCCATTCTGTTATCGGACCCTTCCATGCCTCATATTTTTTTAATCAAGTACAAGTAAGAAATGCCTTTGGTTTGTTTGCTGGATAGTGTCAAACTCCAATGTTTGTTTCTTTCTTCATATGCTACTGTACAGAACTAAACTACTTTAGTGACTACGTATGAAAATAAAGATATTTTTATGAATAAAGTATATTTCTGAGATTTAAAAAAAATCTCCTTCTCAACCTCTCCCCTCACTTGAGGCATGGTGACCCTCAGGTTAAACCACCACCAGCCAATTATCCCTAATGAGGGAGCAGTCCTATGGTCTAGTAAGAGTGGTGACTTTACCTTTACTTTACTGAGTACTTACATAAAATTTAAAAAGCCATGAACATTTAATGGTTCTCTCTGCATTAGAAACAAAGGAGGAAACCTAACAGATAGTTGCTTTTCGTCTATGAAGCCAACATTTGATTGCATGTGGCTTTCACAATATTCCAAAGAAATGCGTGAATTCCCTTCACAATCAACCAAACAAAATTGATACATAATTTAGAAAAGTGAGCAACCTGACAGTGTCAAACCATGACATAAAAAATGTGGTAAAATGATAAGGCTTGACCCCAAGGGTAAAAATGAAAGGAAGTACGATATAGGGAAGGTTCACTGAAACGTAAGGATGTTATTAATGAGGAATTAATAGATGGATATAGAATACATGTAATCCAAAAGGAACTTGTGGTGTAATGATGTGGCCAGAAATTCTGGGTTCAATTCTAGGGCAGCATAGTGGCTCAGTGGTCAGCACTGCTACCTCACAGTGCCAAGGACCCAGGTTCAATTCCAGCCTCAGGTGACTGTGTGGAGTTTGCATGTTCTCCCTGTGTCTGTGTCGGTTTTCTCCAGGTGCTCTGTTCTCCTCCCACAGTCCAAAGTTGTGCAGGTTAGGTGGATTGGCTATGCTAAGTTGCCCATAGCATCCAGGGATGTGCAGGCTAGGCGGGTTAGACATGGGAATCGGGTGGTATGGGTCGATGCTCTTTGGAGGGGTGATGTGGATTTGATGGGCTGAATGGCCTGCTTCTACACTGTGGAGATTATGACACACTGATCGTAACAGATGCAATCAAGATTCTTATTGTAAAATGATTGACTTTAAACAACTCTGTGAAGGAAAGACCAAAAAAGGGAAATAAGTACATTTAGGAAAGTAAAGTTAGATCAGGTATTACAAAAACTTTATTCCAAATGAAACATTTGTCCAACATGTAAATGGCAGCAAAAAGTGGCATCATTAAAATACAAGTGGATGCACAGCTGGATGCCACTGATTAAATGAAACAATTTAGCATTAACTAGTGTCAGGTAAGATGTTTGTATTTGATTAATCTGTGTTACCTTTGAAAATATGATACTGTTATTACAAAACCTTTAATTATGTAGATCATTCTCCTCATGCCTTTGCACTGTTTCAACACAAAGTCCAAGCTGCTAACCAGAAAATAATTTCGACACAACTCTAAAATAACCAAAAGAGAAACACAGACGAATGTAGGATAAGAAAATCAAACAACCTTCCCATAATTTGCATTTCCTGGTATGTGCTTCATCAAAGTGTATAAAAATCAAAGGAATTTTGAAGGAGGATTCGTATGTGAGCAGACAGTGAACCAGTTTGAATGTTCAGTATCCAATTTAAAGTCTAGGATAGGACAGCATTAAACATATATAGAGTTAGAATCCAAAGGAATTTAGTTTTCATGTTCAATTTCAAAGTTAAGAAAGTTTTTGACAAATTAGCAACAAGATTAATTTGCAACTGGGGAAATTCTTCTCAAATCTAAACTGATCCTCAGGACCCAGATCAAAAGTGAATAATTCTACTTTGAGCTTCTCCCATCTATGACAGGAAAATCTACAAAAAAATTCATGCTTTCAGGTTGCCTTCAAATGATCATCCTAAAGAAGCGTGCCACTTCGATTGAGCATCTTTCAGTTCCAATCTCTCAAATGTGTCAGAAGTGGCAGATGATTTGGTGTCAGTTTAAACCCACCTCTGTAGATCTTGGAGGAAAACTTCCTTTTGGTCACCAGTGAGCTATACCATGTCATAATGTAAATTTTGCAGTCAAAGGCTCAAACCCATTCTCTCACCCAAGTAGAAGATGTGTCACAATTTTATGCTTTGACAAAACCATGCAAATTGAAGTGGAAAATTATTTTATGTTTAATGGCAAAAGGAGTCAAAGAATTGTGGCAGAATACGATTCCCTCTAAAATTTTATTGCAATAAGATTTTGTTGCCTTGATGCAACACTTCTGGATAGCTTTGTGTAACATCACAGCGAGTGCTGTGCGTAGATTTTTCACTCAGGATTGTCAAACTGCATTCGTGTCACAATTGGGGGACATTCTAACAACCAACTATTAATATCACAGGATAATTATGAACACAAAATGTCTGCATCGAGGCTGCCTGTAGCCGGCAGTTCTCAACAATAAATTTAGGAACAAGCATTTATTTGATGGAGGCACAGACAAGACTGTATCTCTCTTCATAATACTTAAAATTATAAATTGATACTTTCAAATGAATATACTCCTCCTTCAAGTGAAATTGTAAAAGATCCTGCAAAATTTATGACTGTGTCCAATCTGACAGCGTTCATATGGTACCGGAGTGATGAACAAAGTTCTGTTGTAATAAATCCAGATTTGTTTGTCTTGTTCAATAAGAAGCAGGTAAAGCACATATCACAAAATGCTCATTTCAGTAAAGCAATTCAACATGACCATGTTGATTACTAGTCTTTAATACCCAGAAGACCTGAATGGAAAGATCTGAAACTGCATTTGATCCTCTTTATAATGAACTGCAAAACGAAGACAGATACTAGTCTAAGACTAGTCATGTCTTAAAGCAGGAAAAGGACAAACAATTAGGGAACATTATCCCAAGCCACTTGTAAAGCTTTTTGCTTTGTTCAAAGGGATTACCAAATCCCTTGGTTTCAGTTTTAGTCATGATACCAAAGATATTTTGCATGTGAAAACTTGAAATTTAACAAAACCAGGCAAGATTTTAAATTCAGAACATTTTATTAGCATTCATTTTGAAGCCGCAACAATTGTGCTAGTTCTCAATATCACTATTAGTTCCATGTACTTCAGTTCCATTCTGCTAACATCTTTAATAACATGCACTAAAGCAAATATTACATTATGTATAGTTTATTAATATTAAAAGCAATGTCTTGAATTAGTCAACCAGATCAAAATAAAGACTGTTCAGAAATACATGGTTTAACATATATGATGTATAAAAGCTTCAAAAATATAAAAATTAAGCATACCAAAATTCATAATGCAATTCTTCAGTAGTTATAAAAGGTGAGTAGTGAGTATAATTACAAAATATATTTTTCACTTCATTTTAGATTTGTTCAGAATTTTAATCATGCTTAAAATTTTTATCGAACATTTTGAATTTTTGTTAATCTAGTGCATTAAGAGGGCAATGGAACACTACTAATTTTTGTAGTGTCTACCATTAACTACTTGGAGATAGTCGTTTTTAAAAATCAACTTGTTTGAACATGTTATAACATTCCGTATCTCAAAATGGGACCTGAACCCGGTTCTCCTAGTCCAGAGATCTTCTAGCCCAGACTATCAAAGCACCACTAACCCTTTCGTGGCTTCTATTTGTTCACGCCCCAACAATATCTTTAAATCTAAACTGCACTAAATGATATTTCCATTGTTATCAAACAGCTTATTGGCCTCATGATTTAACGCACAACCACAATCACTTTTGTGTTGCGGCTCATGCCAATAGAGTGACGTCATTTAAATTGCTGTTTCATTGTTTTCTTACGTTCAACAGGAGTCTTTCATCCCATCATTACGCCCAAACTCCAGGCTTGAACAGGATAATGTACTAAGCCACTTAAACATTTTGTTCCTTTTACAAAGAAAAAGGAATGCTTAGTTTTTTGTTCAGTTAACTGAGTATATGGCACAGGTAAACAGGATTACTCTTAGCTGAAAAACTGCTCAAATTTGACTAACCATTAATAGGAAACTATTGGATTTTGTTCACTTGTGATTTCTTAAAACTTTAGCCTGCAAGATTGTGTTTAAGCATGTTCACTTGACATGCAATTCAATGTAGGACACATCATTCTGCAATAATCAACATACTTCTTCAGACTGTCACTTATCCAAATCTGTTTTCTGAGAGGAAAATGCCTGTCAATTGTCTCAAGCGAGAAATGTAAAATATAAGTTAACCAAGTCATAATCAGGTATAAAAAGTAAAAACGAACAACAGGCCTACAGACAAGCACCATTGCTATTGAACTCCTGACTACATCCAACCATACTAATTTATGTGTTCAATGCGTATTGGCCACAAGTGTGAGATAGATCAAAATTAGAAATGAGGAGCTAAGTGACTTTTGTGATCTCTCTCTGAAGATATTCTTCTCTTAAAGCATCTGTTATAATATTTTACAACTATATTTGAATGCTGCGGCCTTAAGAATTCTATAACATTTATAGAGTTTGCTCTTTTCTGAGTAATGTGTTATTAAATTCAGATGCTATTTGACCCTATTAAAAAGCCTACAAAAATACAAACGTTAAGAAACACCAAAAAGTCCACACTGCATTGTTCTTTTAAGATGATTTCTAGTTGCTTTTGCAACAAGACATTCCCATACCCTAATTTAAATTGTAACAAATTCATTTGTCACATTCAAATCCAAATTGAATGTTAAATTTCATCTATTAAATAAAACTGAATATTGCAAACAGATGATTCCTTATTTCTGTTAGAGCACTGTACATATGTAGAGATGAATTAAAACTTAAACAATTGTTGTTTCGATATAGACTTCTTCTTTCATACCTTTTAGTCTCCTAACTTTTCGAAATGCCAGAACTGCTGCGACTGCATTGAGCACATATATTATGATAGCAAGGCAGCCACATAGACCACCAACAATGTCAGCACCATGCAGACTACAGTTAAACCCATCATAGCCTTTACTCTTGTACATTTCCTCCCTCTCTTTACACACTTCTGAATTATAGCTGTCAATCAAGTGTTGAAAATAAAAGTAAATAGCAGGTATGTAGCCAAGCGCAATTACTATATCCAGAACACATTCAATAATCAGTAAGGAGGGAAATCGCCAAGGTATCCGAGCCAGGCCTAAAACTAGCATAAGGCACGCAAAAGACAACAAAGCCCCACTATATGCCATTATGGCAATGACTGTTGGCAGCTTTAGCTGGTAAAATGCAACATCCAACTTGTTTACTTTTTCAGCCTCTGCTCCTTGGAATCCACTATATGCTGATCCAAATGTGTAGTAGTAGAGACTTCCCAGGCTGGAGAGATCTGTGTAGCCCCCAGTGCCACTGTAGGAGATTGCCCCACATATCAGAATTAACAGATTCAGAAGCACCTCCACCAACTGACAGAGACCTGCAACAAAACAACCAAAACACATCCAACTATTAACAACTAATCACCAAGATGTAACCACTCAATTCTCTCATCTGCAGACATAAACTGTGGACAGTTTGACAGAACTGCTGTCCCTAGAATAAAAGTGTCCAATTGAAACAATGGAGGATCTCTTGCAATATTCACCTATTCTTCCAGACCTAATATACATCTTCCACATACGCACTGCCTCAGATGAATATCAGGCATTTTAGAAGACTAAAGTCCTTAATACAAAAGTGCAGCAGCACGTAGGGATCCCCAGTGCATTTGCCCGAGTCAATGGCAACACTGTTGGTTGGATCACACACATGAAATAGATGCTAGCTACTTTCCCATAGACACAAGACTAAAAAGGTGCCCATGTCTACAGTGCAAGGTTGTCTGCAAACATTGACTGGGATTGAAGTCGATCTGAGAGAAATCCTTACTATTGATGGGTGTACCTGGAGACAAGCAGCCAGAGGAAGCAAAAGTCAAAAAATGAAAGATGATGGAAGTGACAGCCTGGCAAAAGGAAGAAATTTTATTCATCTATGCCAGTTGTGGAAGAGATGGCCCCTTATAGCCAAAAGGATGTTCAGTCCAGGACGACATACATTTTGAGCTCAGTCCACTGTCTCCTCTACTATAACAGAAGATTGAGTTTGAAAACCAGCAATGGGAGTATTAGAATAGATACATGTGGAGGTGAAAAAGGCACAATTGAAGTCTGTAACGAGATATAGCTGGAGGTAGGTAAGGTGCAGATCTGGACGTCTTTATGATTGATAGGCTTTGAATAGGATTCAGAGGTAGCTCAGAGTTCTGTGCTGACACCACCTTACCCATGTCTCCTTTATCCTTCCACAGAACCTCTGACTTTAACTCTGTCCCATTCTACATTCTTTATTTCTCACTCGGCCATACATATCCTAATAGTGGATGATTTCTGTGTTCATTTGCATGTGTATTTTGGTTGTCACTTTGGACAAAAGCTCATTACAATTCCCATTTTTTTCCTCCCTTTTGCTTTGTTTTAAAGATTTGATAGGGATTTGGGAGAACAGTGTACACACGAAAGGAGCTTTGACTAAAAAAAAGATTTAGGAGAGATTAAGAAAATATACCTTAGCATCATTCATTTTATTCAGCACAAAATCGTTCTAACTTTTATACCTTTGGTGTCCTTTGATTTTGTACCTTCCTCACACTGTCGCTTAAAACTGGAAAATAGGTTATTTCTATTCAAAAGATTAGTGCCCAGAGATGAATTTCCTTTAATTTTAGGATGAGAAAGTGAAAATATTAGAGATGCTGGAAATCCATAACAAAAGTAGAAAATGTTGGAGCCACCAAAGGTGTGATTTATTTCAAGGGATGGAACATAAAAGGGATGGTTTGCTACAATTGCATAGAGTATTGGCGAGTCCACATCTGCCATACTGTGTACAACTTTGGCCCAACTGAAGTAGTTCAAAGAACTCAACTGATTCCTGGGACAGTAGAATTAACTTATAAAGAATGTTTGGGCAGGCTTTGCCTATATTGATTGGATTTCAGAAAAATGAAAGGAGATCTTAGCAAAACAAAATCCTGATGGGACATCACAGGACAGATGTTGAAAGAAGGTTTCCCTTTGTGGGAGCACCTAGAACTAGGGGACCAAACTTCAAAAATAAAGGCACCTCCCATTTAAGACAAAGAAAATGAACATGTTTGACTCTTCAGCTCATGAGTCTTTAGAACTCTTCCAGACAGCAGTGAAGGTGTGGTCATTGAGTATTTTTATGGTACAGGTAAATAGATTCTTGACTAACAAGCAAGTCAAAAGGGTGTTGGCAGTAGGTAGGAAAGAAGAGCTGAGGCCACAAACAGATTGGTCATGGCCTGATTAAATGGCGGAGCAGGCTGAAAGGGGCCAAATGGCCTTCTCTTGCTCCTAATTCATATGTTCGCATAGAGGCGGAGTGCTACCTGCCAAAACACAAGACAGCATCAACTTGTTTATTCTTTTGATAGTTTCTGTCTGACCTGCCAAGTGTTTTCAACATTTTCAAATTTTGTTCCCTCTACAAAGGTTGAAGTGCTATGAAGTGGGTGTTAGAAGAACATCATTAACACAGTATCACAAATCAGTGTGTCCTTCTTTGGAGTCACAGTCTATTCATTCTGCACAGTAGTGCCTCACTTTAGTTTCTTCATAATAGGAAGAAAGCAATAGCCAAGTGTGCCTGTTACAAACCTAGAGGGTTACACAACAAGTGCACAAAACCAGTTAAACCAGAAATGCTGCCTTCTGTCTAGCCCCAATCTGTTCTTTCATAATGCAGCAACTAAAAAGAGACTGAGTTTCACATACCATAGATAACACAGTATGGAGCTGGATGAGGACAGCAGGTCAGATAGCATCGTTTCGAGTCGGGACCCTTCTTCAGAAAAAAATTTCCTGCTGCTCTGATGCTGCCTGGTCAGCTGTGCTCCTCCAGCTCCACACGGTGTTATCTCTGACTCCAGCATCAGCAGTTCTTACTATCTCTGAGTGAGTTTCACATACCTCTGTGGTTCAAAATCACTCCTATACTATACATTCCAATTTCACATTGGTTGCCATTTCAGCAGATTCAGATTCAATTCCAAAGCAAGTTTGTTTTGTTTTAATCTCTCTTCCTTTTAAATTGACTCTCATATAATAGTGGAAGCACAAAATGAATATCATAATATCAAATCTTGAAGGGAGAAGTTGTGATTCAGTTCACTTTTGTCATGATACACAACAAAATTTGAACTAAGAATACAGCTTTTCTATCATTCTCTCTGAATGTGGTGCTCCTGCCATTGCAAATATTGACAGATTTTGTAAGACTGAGAATCTATATACTTCTTGATCCCTTTCCAGTATTGTTTGACAGCTTCATTTAAATCTACTTATAAATGTTTCCTGTTGAAGTAGTTCAAAAAATGAATGGCCAAATTCAGGTAGAAATATATCACTTGTCTTTTTGTTAAAGAAAATCAATGGTAGTTTATTTTTAAGGATATCCTGGGCAACATTTCATTCTTCAATCAACATGATCAAAAATTCAGATTAACCCTTTTTGCTTGACTTTTCTTCAGGCTGTTTGTTCCTGTCAGAACCATGTAAAAGGCCCTGTCTAAGAAGGGTCTTACTGAAAACATTTCAAAGACCACAACGACTGATTACACAGCTCTAAATGCATAACTGGGAAGGTTTAATTTGTAGAGAGAAGATACTGAGTATTTCTGGTACATTCTGAGTGAAAGGAAGACATTACAGGCTGGTCCAAACAGTACAAACAGAAAAGATCAGCTGCACATACTATATGAGCACAAAAATAAGGACAGGCAGAAAGAAAAATTAAGTATAATAATAATGCGTCATATCAATTTTTAAAAATTAGCTTTACTGTTCATATTTTCACCTAAAATCATTTTCCCACATTATAACAGTAATTACACTTAGTTTGTTACCACATGCACTTTGGGGGCATCCTGAAATTATGAAAGATGCTGTATCAACATAATTTTTGTTTTTTCTCTTTTGAAATAAATGGACTCTGTACTGATTGCATTGTTTAATCAATAAACTATTTAAATCTGCTTTATATCCTTTTGCAATAAATATATTGTTTAGAAAGCTTTTAAAAATTTGACAACTTGATCATAAATTTTACATGAAATCCTATATTTTTCTGATAGCTGTATTAGCCAAAAATGTGCATTTATGTATTCATTCTTGTGACATTGAAAGTACTTTACAATGATTTTTATACCTTTATACCTTTTATACTTTTAAAATATAGTTACTGAGGGCAGGGCGGTAGACATTGTCCACATGGACTTTAGTAAAGCCTTTGACACGGTTCCACATGGGTAGACTAATTAGTAAAGTTAGATCACATGGGATTCAGGGAGATCTTGTCAACTGGGTGCAAAATTGGCTTGATGGCAACAGAGGGTAGTGATGGAGCTTTGTTTTTGGACTAGACACCTGTGACCAGCGGTATTCCACAAGGATCGGTGCAGGGTCCACTTTTGTTTGTCATTTATATAAATGATTTGGATGAGAATTTAGGAGGCATGGTTAGAAAGTTTGTGGATGACACCAAAATTGTGGCATAGTGGACAGTGAAGAAGGTTACCTAAGATCACAAAGGGATCGTGATCAATTGAGCCACTGGGCTGAGGAGTAGCAGATGGAGTTTAATTTGGATAAATGCAAAGTATTGCATTTTGGTAAAACAAACAAGGGCAGAACTTATACAGTTAATGGTAAGGCCCTAGGTAGTGTTGTCGAACAGAGAGACTTCGGGGTTCAGGTACATAGTTCTTTGAAAATTGCATTTAGGTAGACAGGGTAGTTAAGAAGGCGTTTAGCACGCTTGCCTTCATTGCTTTGAACATTGAGTATAGGAGTTGGGACATCATGTTGAGGTTGTACAGGACATTGGTGAAGCCACTTTTGTAGTACTGAGTACAGTTCTGGTCGCCCTGCTTTAGGAAAGATATTATTAAATTGGAGAGGGTTCAGAAAAGATGTACCAGGATGTTTCTGGGACTGGAGGGATTGAGTTATAAGGATAAGCTGTGACTTTTTTAATTGGAGCATATGAGGTTGAGGAGTGCTCTCAATATAAAATCATGAGGGGCATTAATAAAGTGAATAGCAAAGGTCTTTTCCCTAGAATGGGGGAGTCCAAAACTAAAGGTATATTTTTAGGTGAGAAGAGAAAGATTTAAAAAAGGACCTGAGGGGCAACTTTTTCACACAGAGGATGGTTCACGTGTGAAATGATATGCCAGAGGGATCGGTAGATGCAGGTACAGTTAGTTACAACATTTAAAAGGCATTTAGATAGGAACATGAATAGGAAAGGTTTAGAGGGATATGGGACAAATGCAGGCAAGTGGGATGAGTTTAGTTCTGGAAACTTAGTTGGCATGGACAAGTTGGACTGAAGGGTCTGTTTCTGCGCAGTATGACTCTGTGAGCATTTGAGCCAGCCAGTAGATTGTGCATAGTAAGCAAACCACAAAAATTCAGTAAACCACCGAATCCTCAATAATCAAAAAGCTATAACTTTGTCAATAATTTGAAGATTCTTACTTGGATTATGTTGAATAACAGGTAAATATTGTTCTCAAGAAATAGAAGAACAAATTAGTGGCTAGGTTGCTCTAGAAACTTCACACAATCTATAGTTGAAGACAATTGCTCAATACATTGGCAGCAGCTAATTTATACAATTAATGGCCAATGGACAGCCATTTCCCAGGATCACTTGCATTTTCTGGTGGCAGAGAGGCTCCCTGCAAACTGGGGAGCTGCTACTGCACGTTGCCTTTGTTTTAAGGGAGTGGGGCAACACAGGAGGGAGGCGTCAGAGCTGGAGGCTCCATTGCCAAAGGAGAGCTTTCCAGCAGCAAAGGCCACCCTCATAGGCTTGATACTACTATTTGAAGGGTAACCCCTCTGACCACTGGGACCTTCTTGGACATGGGATCCTGTGGATCAAGGGTCTCATTCTTCTTGTACCCTGAGTAGCTGCCAACTCTCACAGTGATGCTGCTGAGGTTATCAGGTTGTTGGTCCTCTAACTTGGCCAGCAGTGGAAAGAGCCAGCTCATTTGCCCTAATTGGGCAGCTGGCCAGCTGTATCTTTGGTCCCAATACCCGTGTGGGCTTGGGACCCCCATATAATACCAGTGTCAGGACTGACAGGTGCTGAGGCAGATGCAGTCTACAAACCTTCTAATGAAGGGTCATCAGTTTGAAACATTAATGTGGTTTTTCTCCACAAATGCTGCCTGACCTGCAGAGTATTTCCCGCATTTTCAGTTTTTATTTCAGGTTATCAGCATCCGCAGCACTTTGCTTACGTAAAAATGATTAGCATTCCTGATGTTAAATCTGATCTTGCCGCCTTACCTCGATTTGTGCAAAGGTAACGACAACTGTGACAATTTAGGATGCCTCCTGAATCTTCTGGCTTGTAGTAATACATCTCCGATCTTTTATCTTCAGCTATTACATATTCTGGTGGTGGAGTTTCAGTATAACTGTTAAAAAAGTGGAATAAAGTTTTTGCTATATGTAACCCAAGAATTTTTTTCTCATAACCAACAGTATCTCATTTACTGTATAAACTATGGCTGTAAGGTCTGGCTATATTTATATTTTGATATGAATTGGTTTAAGACTTCTAGAACTTATTTTGTCCTTGATATTAAAAACTTTCCATTTAATTAAATAGAATCAGATCCCTTTAAAAAGCGTACTTTACATCTCACTTTTATAGTAGGGACTGCCACTCAGTTCTAACAATCTAACACAAGTTCAGAACAATTTCTTCCTAGCATGATGTTAAGTTTCCCAACCATGCCAGTTGCAGGAATAATTTAATGCTGACCCTAAGTTAGCTTCAGACTGATCTAATTCAGTGGATTTTAGCCATCCTAATAGGATATTGCCCTTTATCAATTAAGAGGCATTTTAACCTCAAGTTTCACTTGCATTTTTCTGCACACATTTAAGAAATAGAGCTGAACCCTGAACAGACAAGATCATTTTTCTGAGCCACCTAGATCAGAAAGGTCTAAAGATCTTGGGTTGTACTGTTTGAGAGGCAGTGGAAGAAAAGCTACAATTGACCACAGCAATCCTGAACTCTGTACAGCTACTCATACAGGGACCCTGTGTATTGTGTACAAAGCCAAAACAGTACCAACTCCATTTTTTAGTGTTCCACATTATGAAATGCATACTTTCCTGAATGCATATAGAACAATTCTTTTCATTACGCGTTATTTTTCTCTTACTTGTTATGTCTGTAGGAAGCTTTCTCATCAGATGGCAAAGAAACTTCTTTTTCATTTCCGTAACGCTGTTGATTACTATGTTTTTCATAGTTTTCGTGAGTTTGAAAATTATGTTGTTTTCTTTCTTGGTTGTGATGATGGTCTTGATTCTCCCTTTTGTAGTAGTCCCTCTCTTTCCTGTTTCGGTTCTCTCTTGTACGATGCTCATTACCGTAGCCGCCTCTAGCATGAGAACTTTTCTCTTCTGATCGTTCCTTCCTCCTCTCTCTCTCTCGATCCCTATTTTGTTTAGAGTAATCCCTTTCTCGGTGATGTCTGTTGTCACCATCCTGATCCCTGCGAGGACAGGAGCGCTCATTGTAGTGATGTCGATTACGATGGTGCTCTTTGTTGGGATGACTTCTCTCACCTCTTGTTAAATTTTTCTCAGCCCTATTTTCCAGGGAGCTTGTTGGTGGTTGGGCCATCTTTTTTTCAGCTATATCAAGTATTCTGTGATTTGTTTAAAAAAAAATTGAGTCACAAGCATACCTTTTCCAGCATTTGCCACATTAATATTGAGGGAACTGTAATCAGGTGGGAAACTGATGATTCTTGAATATTTGTACAGAGTCGCAGAAATTAATATAATGGCAATGAAAATCACACGGAGGTCAGGTTGATGCAAAATACCTGAAAATATATTTAAAAAGAAAATAAAACTGAAAATCTGGTTAAATCCTTAAAGCTAGTTACTAATTATGTTAACAACGAACAAGTCTATAATGAGGTTTTAGGCTCTGAAAAGTTCAAACTAAGTTATTCCCATCTGTACTATTTACATGGTTGCCCAGGAATATCCTCAATTGTATCACTTGTAACAGTTTACCCAACACTATTGATGAAAGATTAATCTGAAGCTCTATGTGGAGTGGGATAGGAAACAATCTGACATGGGGATTTTTTGGCAACTCTCAAATACTTCTACCAATAGCTGATCATTCACTCAGCATGCTCAAAGATTTCAATTGAAATGTTCTTGCCAATTTCAATTATAAACATACAGCCCTAACAACAGTAGCCTGGAGACAAGACTACCACAGAAATGCACAGAAACTGTGTCACCTACTTATCTGATGGATACAAAGGAAATGAAACTGCATTGGTTGTGTAGAGATCCATTTCACATATACCGTCCCAAAACTTAGATTGCATTGTGCCAGTTTAACATGTGTAAAATGGACACCTAAAGTTTTAATATCATGAGCAGTGTGCACACCATTCATCATTGGAAATGTGGTACTCATCATATTGCTAAAACCAACTGCTTAGGGAGCTAGGCAAAAAGGGAGCTTAATGCCCATTTGTGCTCCCTTGGAAATTTGTTTATTACAGAGAGCAGAAAATCTTTAGAACAAGCCTAAAAAAGTAGTCCTTTAAAGGAACCACGGGAAGCTGCCAGCAGAAAGGCACAATTAGCAAAATTGCTAAGCTCCCCAATTGCTCACTGTTATTGCCATTTCTCGTTGGACAGATTTGTATATTTAATTACATTACCTCTGGCCGCCAACTACATTATCCAGTAGAAGCTTTTTTCCAACTGTAATATTTTAATAACTGTAAATGTTCAAAGAAATTGAAATACTTATTTCTGATGTCCATGTGACTTTTCTCCTGTATTATTCATAACACCATGCAGGAGACTAAACAAATCCTGGAGATTCCAGGGCAATCCTGGTGGGTTTTCAACCCTATTGCTCCTCCATGACTGGCACCCCTATTTTGTCAGTAATAACCAGATGAATTCAATATATCAACTTTCCATGGTCCTAGTACAGATTTCTGTTGTCTCTCAAATTGAGTATGATTGATTTCTAGACCATTAAAAAAAGGACTTTCATTCAAATAACATCTTTCATGACTGTAGATCAATTAAAACACTATTTGGGCAACGCAGTACTTTGGAAATATCATCATTACTGTAATGTAGGAAGCAATAACAATCAGTTTCACACAAGGTTCAACATCAAAGCGATGATGATGAGCATCTGTTCTTGAAACATTGATCAAGGTGTAAATATTGCCCAGGGATAACTTTTCTGGTCTTTGAAATTGTGACATTGGATCTTCCACCCAAGGGTGTTTTTGTATCATTGATTAGCATCTCATCTGAAAGATAGCTCCGCCAATAATGAAGGACCCCATCATGTTCACTTGTACAGAAGTAATGGCAGCTTAGATTTTTGTGCTCAAGTCTCTAGGTTGGGATTTCAACATACAACTTTCTGTCTCAGAGGTGAGACAATGCTACCAACTGAGCCACAGTTGATGCTCTCATGAAGTCTGCAATATTATTTAACAAGCACATAAGAAAAAGCATACTGAAAGCATCATAGGCAGCTCAGAATACATTCAATTGTTACATAAGAAATAGCGGTTGAAGTACACCAAACAACCCCCTCAAACATCCCTGTCATTCAATATGATTATGGCTGATTCTTGGCCTCTACTCCAGTTTTCTGTTGCTCCCCATATCCCTGGATTCCCTCAGACCCCAAAGATATGTCTACCTCAGCCTTAAACAGTGGAACATCCATAATCTGCTGGGATTCACAGAGTCTATTTTTCTGGAACAGTATGTTGTTGATGCAACCAGGGATCGAGCTATTTCAGATGTAGTTAAATGTAAAGAGGCAGGTTTAATAAATGATCTCAGAGTACACAATCTCCGAGAAGACAATGACCATGGTAGAATTTAGCATTTGGTTTGAGACGGAGAAACTTGGATCAGAAACAACTGTACTAAACCTAGATAACAGGATATTTGCAAAGACGGCAGAGTTAGCTGAAGTGGTCAAGATAAAATAGCAGAAAAAATGGTTGAGGAACTATGAAAGACATTTAAGTAAACAGTTCATGACTCACAGCAAAAATATACCATGAGGAAAAGGGATAAGCAGACCATAGTTAACCAAGTAAGTTAAAGATAGCATCAAATTGAAAGAAAAAGCATACCATGTGGCAAAGATTCATGGTAATCCAGAGGATTTGAAATATTTTAAAAACCAACAAAAAAAAGTGTGAGAAGATAAACTATGTGGGTAAAAAGTAACCTCAAGACGGCCAGTGAATTTTTTAAATATGTAAAAAGGAAGAGAAAGGCCAGAGTGAACATAAGCCCCCTGGAGAACAAGGCTGCAGAAATCATAATGGGGAACCAGGAAATGGCAGAGGAATTGAGTAAATATTTTGCCCAGTCTTCACAGTAGAAAACATCCAAAACTTTAAATGATCAAGGGGTAAAAGGGAGAGAAGAAATCCATACAATAACTGTCACTAGGGGAAAGAAAAGTATTAAGGAAACTAAGGAGACTAAAAATCAATGTATTCCTGGAACGGACGGGTTGCATCCTAGAATATAAAAGAAAGTACTTGCAGAGGTAGTGGATGTACTGATAGCAATTTTCCAAGAATCCTTGGATTTTGGAAAAGCCCCAGAGGATTAGTAGGCTGCCAATGTAACACCATTATCCAAAAAAGGGAAGGAAACAAAAATGATTAGGCAATTAATGGGCCGTTGGCTTAACATCTGTCATTGAAGAAAAATGATTGGGTCTATAATAAAGGATGCAATACCACAGCATTTCAATATACATAATATAATGAAGCTGAGTCAGTGTGCCATCATGAAGGGGATATCATGACTTACAAATTTATTACAATTCTGTGAGAAAAAAAGAAGCAGAATAGATAAAGTAGATGTATTATTTGGATTTACAAAAGGCATGTGAGAAGGCTCCACATGCAAGGCATATTTAATAAGATAAGGGCCCATGATGTTGAGGATTGTATATTTGCATGGATAGAAGATTAACTAACAAACAGAAAACAGACTTGGAATAAAGTGCTGGGGTCACAGCCATTTACAATATATGTTAATGACTTAGATGATGAAAATGAATGTACTATAGCCAAATTTGCAGATGACAAAAATAGAAGAGAAAGAAAGAGGTGAAAATGGCACAAAAAAATCTATGGAACAATATATACATGTTAAGTGCATGGTGGGCAAAAACTTGGCAGATGGAGTATAAGGTGGAAAAACGTGAGGTTATGCACTTTGGCAGGAAGAATAGAAGTGCTGACAATTTTTTTAAATGAAGAGATTACAGAAAGTTACAGCACCAAAGGATTCAGGGGTCCTCATGCACTAAGCACAAAAAGCTAGCAAACAAGGAGATAGTAAGAACTGCTCTTGCTGGAGTCAGAGATAACACAGTGTGGAGCTGGAGGAACAAAGCAGGCCAGGCAGCGTCAGAGGAGCAGGAAAGCTGATGTTTCGGGTCGGGACCTGCTGGGTTCCTCCAGCTCCACACTGTGTTATCTCTTAAGCTAGCAAACAAGTTCGGCAGGTATTGGGGAATGCAAATGAACTGCTGACCTTTATTTCAAAAAGAATTCAGTATGATAGGGAAGTCTTGCTAAAAATATGCAATGCACTAGTTAGACTACACTTAGAATATTGTGAACAATTTTGGTCCTCTTATCTGAGGAAAGATATGGAGGCAGTCCAGAGAAGGGTCACTAAGTTGTTCCTGGGTCTGAAGCTATTTTCTAATGAGGAGTGGCTGAATAGTTTGGACTTGTACTCAAGAGGTTAGAAGAATGAGAGGTGACCTTTTGAAACATATAAGATTCTTAGGGGGCTTGAAAGGGTGGACACTGCAAGATTGTTCCCCTTGTGGAAGAGCCTGTGATCAGCGGCCATATTGTAAGAGTAAGGGGTCACCCAGTCTGGACCGAGATGAGGAATTACTTCTCTCAAGAGGGTAAATGAATCTTTGGAATTCCTTACTTCATAGAACTGTAGAGGCTGGGTGGTAAGATATATTCAAGGCTGAGATAGACAGATTCTTAATCAGTTAGGGATTCAAGGTAATGGGAAAAAGGAAAAAAAAAGATCAATGGTGGGCAAGACTCAATGGGCTGAATGGCCGACTTATGCTCCTACCTCTTACGGATGGGGAATTCGAATGTTTTGCAGCCTTTGATTATTTCTCATATGTTTTACAGATTGAAGGTTTGCGTTAGCAGGTTTTTTTTCCCTTCAGGATAAAGTGTTAGAAATCCGTGCATTTCCAATATTAAACTGAGATTTAACTACAGACGTTACTATTTAAGGTGACGAGGTCGCTCAATGGGTCTCTTAATTAATGTCAAATCAATTGTAACCTTAACGACTTTTTCCCCGTTACCAAGCAATGATTATTATAACTACCAAAAAGCAGAAAGTTGTGAATTTCTATCTATATCTTGGAAGAAAATAATCAAAACAAGTTATTGCTATGCTTTGCTTACATGTGCCAAATCGGACTCAAACTCCTGTCCAAGTAGAAAATTTTTCCCAAAAATGTTTTCCGGAGAGGGGAGACGAGTTCGTGTGAACCTTCTCCAGCGAACTCTGATAGTTTTCAGTTGAATGACGACCGCACCAAATGGTTGGAAATCTGATACCTCAACACCTGACCGAAACTCGCTTTGGAGAAACTCGATGCTGAGAAAAACAACTTGCCCCAAACGTCAGCGCATCTCCTGCAAACAATGGCCCCAGCAGAAAATGAGTGTGATTCCTGGGTAGGGAGAAAAGAACTTACTTCGTCCAGTTGATGGATTGTGCCAACGAACCACAGAGCCTGAAATCTCACAAAGAATTCCCTATTGAACGTAGCCTAGTCAGCAAAGACGCTGATGTAAGTCTGCACTTAAATTGAGCCGTGCGTTAAACGAAAGCTCTATCCGCACTGCAAACACCACTCAGGTGTTTGTTCTACCTTCCTATTTTCCTGCTGTCGTAGCGCCTGCTCATCCCAGGGACTCCTGCCGCCAAACCCGTTGGCTTGACCTCGCCCAACAGAGGCTTACAAATTGTGAAACATTAATTCCCCATTTTTTTGTGTCGCGTTCCATTTTCATCTTGTTTGTTACGGCCGCAGGGGATTTACTCAGCGGGTAAAGGCATTTCGTTTTGCACTAATCAACAAAACTAACTGCTTCAGGTAACGAAGAGCTAGAACAGTAGAATATACGTTAAGAGCGAACACACTGTAAAATGCCTTAGTGCACACCTTAGACACCAGTTCCATGTCGTCAAAACACAGAGGAGGAGGAAGTCATCTTCTCTGGACAGAGTAGAGAAAGGTTACCACACTGCCCCCTACTTCTGTCTTGGGATTTTTATAACTTTGAAAGGAGGCATTCCACAGATGATCTTATGATGAAAAATTCTTTTTCTTCGTTTATGAGATACATAGCATTGCTGGTGAGATATTGTCCATCCTAAATTGCAGCAGAGAGGGTAGTGATGAGCTACTTTTTACAACTTGCAGATAGGGAGGGAGTTCTTGGATTCTGATTCATCGACAGTAACGGAATAGTGACTATAGTTCCAAGTGAGAATGGTGTGACTGGTGGAGGGGAACTTGCGGATAATTATGCGCCCGCTGCCCTTTTTCTTCAGTAGAAGTTTCAAGTTTAAAAGGGGCTGTGGAAGGATCCTTGGGAAGTTATTACAACACTTCCTCTAGATGCATGGTACATGTTGTTGCCTTTGCATGCCAGTAGCCGACAGGGGCCTGATCAAGGAACAAGAACAACAAAGAACAAAGAAAATTACAGAGCAGGAACAGGCCCTTCGGCCCTCCAAGCCTGCGCCGATCCAGATCCTCTATCGAAACCTGTTGCCTATTTTCCAAGGATCTGTATCCCTCTGCTCCCTGCCCATTCATGTATCTGTCTAGATACATCTGAAATGACACTATTGTGCCTGCCTCTACCACCTCCACTGGCAACACGTTCCAGGCACCCACCACCCTCTGAGTAAAGAACTTTCCACGCATATCTCTCTTAAACTTTTCCCCTCTCACCTTGAAATTGTGACCCCTAGTAATTGAGTCCCCCACTCTGGGAAAAAGCTTCTTGCTATCCACCCTGTCGATACCTCTCATGATTTTGTAGACCTCAATCAGGTCCCCCCTCAACCTCCGTCTTTTTAATGTAAATAATCCTAAACTACTCAACCTCTCTTCATAGCCATCGCCCTCCATACCAGGCAACATCCTGGTGAACCTCCTCTGCACCGTCTCCAAAGCATCCACATCCTTTTGGTAATGTGGCGACCAGAACTGTACGCAGTATTCCAAATGTGGTCGAACCAAAGTCCTATACAACTGTAACATGACCTGCCAACTCTTGTACTCAGTACCCCGTCCGATGAATGAAAGCATGCCGTTTGCCTTCTTGACCACTCTATCGACCAGCGTTGCCACCTTCAGGGTACAATGGACCTGAACACCCAGATCTCTCTGTGCATCAATTTTCCCCAGGGCTTTTCCATTTACAGTATAGTTCGCTCTTGAATTGGATCTTCCAAAATGCATCACCTTGCATTTGCCTGGATTGAACTCCATCTGCCATTTCTCCGCCCAACTCTCTAATCTATCTATATTCTGGTGCATTCTCCGACAGTCCCCTTCACTATCTGCTATTCCACCAATCTTAGTGTCATCGTCAAACTTGCTAATCAGACCATTTACACCTTCCTCCAGATCATTTATGTATATCACAAACAGCAGTGGTCCCAACACAGATCCCTGTGGAACACCACTGGTCACAGTTCTCCATTTTGAGAAACTCCATTCCACTACATCTCTCTGTCTCCTTGAGGTTGGTTGGCTCACTGAGCTGGTTTGTTGTTCCGCGGAACAACAAACCAGCTCGGCGAGCCAACCAACCTCAACATCCACAACCCCGAGCTACAGATCTACTCCAAAATCTCTGTCTCCTGTTGCCCAGCAAGTTCTCTATCCATCTAGCTAGTACACCCTGGACACCATGCGACTTCACTTTCTCCATCAGCCTACCATGGGGAACCTTATCAAACGCCTTACTGAAGTCCATGTATATGACATCTACAGCCCTTCCCTCATCTATCAACTTTGTCATTTCCTCAAAGAATTCTATCAAGTTGGTAAGACATGACCTTCCCTGCACAAAACCATGCTGCCTATCACTAATAAGCCCATTTTCTTCCAGATGTAAATAGATCCTATCCCTCAGTATCTTCACCAGCAGCTTCCCCACCACTGGCGTCAGGCTCACTGGTCTATAATTACCTGGATTATCCTTGCTACCCTTCTTAAACAAGGGGACAACATTAGCAATTCTCCAGTCCTCCGGGACCTCACCCGTGCGCAAGGATGCTGCAAAGATCTCTGTTAAGGCCCCAGCTATTTCCTCTCTCGCTTCCCTCAGTAACCTGGGATAGATCCTATCCGGACCTGGGGACATGTCCACCCTAATGCCTTTTAGAATACCCAATACTTCCCCCCTCCTTATGCTGACTGACCTAGAGTAATCAAACATCTATCCCTAATCTCAACATCCGTCATGTCCCTTCCTCAGTGAATACTGACGCAAAGTACTCATTAAGAATCTCACTCATTTTCTCTGACTCCTTGCATAACTTCCCTCCTTTGTCCTTGAGTGAGCCAACCCTTTCTCTAGTTACCCTCTTGCTCCTTATGTATGAATAAAAGGCTTTGGGATTTTCCTTAACCCTGTTTGCTAAAGATATTTCATGACCCCTTTTAGCCCTCTTAATTCCTCATTTCAGATCGGTCCTACCTTCTCGATATTCTTCCAAAACTTTGTCTGTTTTCAGTCGCCTAGACCTTAATTATGCTTCCTTTTTCCTCTTTGCTGGTCTCACAATTCCACCTGTCATCCATGGTTCCCTAATCTTGCCTTTTCTATCCCTCATTTTCACAGGGACATGTCTGTCCTGCACTCTAATCAACCTCTCTTTAAAAGCCTCCCACATATCAAATGTGGATTTACCCTCAAATAGCTGCTCCCAATCCACATTCCCCAGCTCCTGCCGAATTTTGCTATAGTTGGCCTTTCCCCAATTCAGCAGTCTTCCTTTAGGACCACTCTCCCTTTAGGACCACTCTCGTCTTTGTCCATCAGTATTCTAAAACTTACAGAATTGTGATCACTATTCCCAAAGTAATCCCCTACTGAAACTTCAACCACCTGGCTGAGCTCATTCCCCAACACCAGGTCCAGTATGGCCCCTTCCCGAGTTGGACTGTTTACATACTGCTCTAGAAAACCCTCCTGGATGCTCCTTACAAATTCTGCTCCATCTAAACCCCTAACACTAAGTGAATCCCAGTCAATGTTGGGAAAATTAAAATCTCCCATCACCACCACCCTGTTGCTCCTACATCTTTCCATAATCTGTCTACATATTTGTGCCTCTATCTCATGCTTGCTGTTGGGAGGCCTGTTGTACAGCCCCAACGTTGTTACCGCACCCTTCCTATTTCTGAGCTCTGCCCATATTGCCTCACTGCTCGAGTCCTCCATGGTGCCCTCCTTCAGCACAGCTGTGATATCCTCTTTGACCAGTAATGCAACTCCTCCACCCCTTTTACCTCCCTCTCTATCCCGCCTGAAGCATCTATATCCTGGGATATTTAGTTGCCAATCTTGCCCTTCCCTCAACCAAGTCTCAGTACTAGCAATAACATCATACTCCCAGGTACTAATCCAAGCCCTAAATTCATCTGCCTTACCTACTACATTTCTCGCATTAAAACAAATGCACCTTAGACCACCTGTCCCTTTGTGTTCATCATCTGCTCTCTGCCTACTCTTCCCCTTCGTCACACTGACTTCATTATCTAGTTCCTTACAGGCTTTAGTTACTACATCCTTACTGTCCACTGACCTCCTCATTTGGTTCCCATCCCCCTGCCACATTAGTTTAAACCCTCCCCAACAGCGTTAGCAAAAGCAGCCCCTAGGACATTGGTTCCAGTCCTGCCCAGGTGTAGACCGTCCGATTTGTAATAGTCCCACCTCCCCCAGAACCGGTCCCAATGTCCCAAAAATCTGAACCCCTCCCTCCTGCACCATCTCTCAAGCCACTCATTTTTCCTGCCTATTCTTTCATTTCTATTCTGACTAGCACGTGGCACTGGTAGCAATCCTGAGATTACTACCTCTGAGGTCCTACTTTTTAACTTGACTCCTAACTCCCTAAATTCTGCTTGTAGGACCTCATCCCATTTTTTACCTATATCATTGGTGCCTATATGCACCATGACAGCTGGCTGTTCACCCTCCCCCTTCAGAATGTCCTGCAGTTGATCTGAGACATCCCTGACCTGTGCACCTGGGAGGCAACATACCATTCGGGAGTCTTGTTTTCAACCACAGAACCGCCTATCTACTCCCCTTACAATCGAATCCCCTATGACTATAGCCCTTCCACTCTTTTTCCCGCCCTTCTGTACAGCAGAGCCAGCCACGGTGCCATGAACCTGGCTACTGCTGCCTTCCCCTGGTGAGCCATCTCCCCCAACAGTATCCAAAACGGTATACCTGTTTTGGAGGGAGATGACCGCAGGGAACACTTGCACTGCCTTCCTGCTTTTTTCCTGCCTTGTGGTCACCCATTCCCTTTCTCCCTCAGCAATCCTAATCTGCGGTGTGACCAATTTGCTGAACGTGCTATCCACGACTTCCTCAGCATCGCGGATGCTCCAAAGTGAGTCCATCCGCAGCTCCAGAGCCGTCATGCGGTCTAACAAGAGCTGCAGCTGGACACACTTCTTGCACGTGTAGGAGTCAGGAACATCAGCCGCGTTCCTGAGCTCCCATATTGAGCAAGAGCATAACACGGGTCTGGGATCTCCTGCCATTTTTACTCTTAAGTTTAACTTAGTCCTACTATAATATCAAATACTAGATAAATGAAATGAAAAAAAATTTGTACCAAATCACTCTACTTACCAGCACATGATAAAAGAAAAAGAAAAACACTTACCTTATCAACACACCAGAGTCTTTTTTTTCAGAGGAGGAGGGCGGGTGGGAGACACTTACACGTGTAGTGTCTCGGGTTTAGCCACTGCCCAAATTTGTTCTGCTAATTTGTTCTGGGTGATGCAGAGTTTCTTGGGTGTTGTGAAGCTGCACTCATTAAGCAAGCAAAGATTTTTTAATCACATCCCGAATTTGAATCCTGTAGATGGTGCACAAACTTTAGGAAATCAGTTTTCTTGATTTGGTTCTCTCACCACTCACCACAGGTTCTGTCTGGCAGCTCAGATACATTATCTGTGTACACTTGCTGCCCTCAATGCTTTTTGCAAGTGGCAGTCAATCAGCTGAGGGAAGGTGGTGATCAGCAAAAGGTTTTCTCGCCCATGTTTGATCTGATATCTTGAGACTTAATGGGATCCAGACTCAATGTTGAGGACATTCTGTCTATATGCCACTGTACTACCAAGTCTGGCTATTGGGCAGAATATTCCCAGGGATGGTATTTGAGAGATCTTAAACATCAGTTTAAGGTATGATTCTGTGCAAATGGTTCAGTTGGGCCATTGCTTGACTCATCATCGGGACAATTTTGCTGGCAATCCACTGCTTGCTGTGACCTTCAGCTTCTGACTGTTCTACTAATTTTCAGATTCAATCATTTGGCTGGATTATCCTACTGGGCTGCAACTAATTTCTCTGCCACCCCTGAATCTTATGGTTTCTTCTAATTTTGCAATAGCTTTTCTGTTTTGTAATCAATTCTACACTCCTCCTGGCTCTTTTTTTATGGAAATACCTCGAGTAATGCATTCTCTGATACTCTACCCTTTTTAAAACCTTAAGGATTCACTCACCCTCTCTACTCAACTCCAAACCTGTACATTCTTCCTGCAATGCTGTTAGTTGACTCCACCCTACCTACATCAACTTTATCCCACAATGGGATCTCCAGATTCTTGTCCGTCTCCTTTCCATTCCCTATTTAGTAGCATCACATATCCACTGTGTTTTTTGAGCGTTTAAGTCCTTAAGTTTCCTCCACTTTATCTCTTGGCAATCTCTTCAAATTTTTTGGTCATCTTACAAAGCTAGTTCCCTGTTCTCCAATCTTCACATGACTAACAAGACAATAATCTCATCTCTCAGTTTCCAAACAATCAGGCTATTTGGTGTGCTCATTACAAATTTAACAATAACTTTAACCATATCAATTTAATATTTAGTCTTATTGAGAGCACCATCCGCGGAGTGAAAACGAGTTAACGTTTTGAATCCAATGACCGATACTGCCAGACCTGCTAAGTTTTTCCAGCACTTTCTGTTTCTGTTTCATATTTCCAGGATCCACAGGGGCTCTTTGTTATTATATCAGCACTCCCTTTGATTTTTGCTCTCACCATCTTATCTACTCACTGCTTCACCTCCCACCATCCCCACTCCTCTGTTAACAGCATAAAGACCAACAATTTCCAAACCCTTTCAGTCAGTTCTGAAGAAGTCATATCAGATTCAAAATGTGAACTCTATTTCTGTCTCCACAGATGCTGTCAGACCTCCAGAGTTTCTCCAGCATTTTCTCTTTTTATTTAAGATTCTTAGTGGGCTTTTTGGATAGATGTTGAGAGGTTGTTTCCTTTTGTGAGAGGGTCTAGGACCAGAGGGTATAATCTCAGAGTTAGGGTTCGACCATTTAAAACAGGAATTTGTTCTTGTAGATTTCTATACCAGAGAGGGATGTAGAAGCTGGGTGATTAAGTATGTTCAAAGCTGAGATTGACAAATTTTTAATAAGTAAGGGAATTAAAGATTATGGGGAATAGGCAGGAAAGTGGAGTTGAGGATTATCAGGTCAGGTGTGATCTCATTGAATTGCAGAGCAGACTCAATAGGCTGAATGGCCTACATCTACTCCCATATTTTATGGTTTTAGTAAAACAATTGTCCAATACCTTCTTGACTGTTTCAATTGAACCTGCCTCCTCCACACTTGTAAGCACTAGATTCCAGGTGTGAACAACTCATTGTGTAAAGAATTATTTTCTCACAAAACTTTGTTATTTTCACAAAACACTTTAAATCTGTGCCCTCTTGTTCTTGATCCTTTCATAAGCAGGAACTGTTTCTCCCCCTCCCTAAGCAATGCAGATACTTATGATTTTGAAAACTTCTATAAGAGTTCTTCTCACCTTTCACTCTAGGGAAAATTGTCCCAAACTCTCTGATCTATCCTCATAGCTGACAGTTGACATGCCTGAAACCATGCTTGTAAACCTCTCACCAATAGCATATACATCTTTCTATTGTGCCATGCCCAAAACTGCATGCAAAACTACAGCTGAGGTTTAACAAGTGCCTTATTAAAACTTCAGCATAAGCTCCTGTTTTTGTACTTAATGCATTTACTAAACTTCATGATACTATTTGTTTTATTAACTGCTCTCTCCACCTGTCCTTACACCTTTAATGATCTGTGCACATATATACGCAGGTCTGTCTGCTCCTGTATCTTTTAAGTATTGCACCCCTTATTTTAGCTTGTTTGTCACTGTTCTTCATACCCAGTCTCATACTTCAAATCATCAAATGTCATCGGCTACCCATTCACCAACTTGTCTTTATCCTTTTGGAGTTCTACACTGTCCTCCACACAGTTTACAAGGAGGGGATAGGTGGGAGGAAGAGCAGGTTAGGGAGGCAGGTACGAGCTGAGCTGGTTTTGGGATGCGGTCGGGGGAGGGGAGATTTTGAAGCTTGTGAAGTCCACATTGATACCCTTGGGCTGCAGGGTTCCCAAGCGAAATATGAGATGCTGTTCCTGCAACCTTCGGGTGGCATCGTTGTGGCACTGCAGGAGGCCCAGGATGGACATGTCGTCTAAGGAGTGGGAGGGGGAGTTGAAATGGTTCGCGACTGGGAGGTGCAGTTGTTTGGTGAGAACCGAGCGTAGGCGTTGCACAAAGCGGTCCCCAAACCTCCGCTTGGTTTCCCCGATGTAGAGGAGGCCACATCGGGAACAGCGGATACAGTATACCACATTAGCAGATGTGCAGGTGAACGTCTGTTTGATGTGGAAGGTCTTCTTAGGGCCTGGGATGGGGGTGGGGGGGGAGGTGTAGGGGCAGGTGTAGCACTTCCTGCGGTTGCAGGGAAAAGTACCGGGGGTGGTGGGGCTGGTGGGGAGTGTGGAGCGGACAAGGGAGTCACAGAGAGAATGGTCCCTCCGGAAAGCATATAAGGGTGGGGAGGGAAAAATGTCTTTGGTAGTGGGGTCGGATTGCAGATGGCGGAAGTGTAGGAGGATGATGCGGAGGTTGGTCGGGTGGTACGTGAGGATGAAGGGGATTCTGTTTTGGTTGTTATTGCAGGGAGGGAGTGTGAGGAATCAGTTGCGGGAAATGCGAGAAACACGGTCAAGGGCGTTTTCGACCACTGTGGGGGGATGTTACGGTCCTTGAAAAACAAGGACATCTGTGATGTCTGGGAGCGGAATGTCTCATCTCGGGAGCAAATGCGACGGAGGTGAAGGAATTGGGAATAGGGGATGACCTTTTTGCAGGAAGGTGGGTGAGAGGAGGTGTACTGTAGGTAGCTGTGGGAGTCGGTAGGCTTGAAATGGATATCGGTGTCCATGTGATTGCCAGAGATGGAAATAGAGAGGTCCAGGACGGAGGGAGATGTATCGGAGATGGTCCAAATGAACTTAAGGTTGGGGTGGAAGGTGTTAGTGAAGTGGATGAACTGTTCGAGCCCCGCCATGTCTGATTCATCTTGTCCATCTGCTTCCTATCCCCTCTGTCCATCTTGCTCCAGGATGTTTATTCTTCTTCTTCTTCCTCCTTTTCAAGAGTGGTTAGTGACAGCCTGAACGAATCGTTCTTATGATATCCCTCGGACCAGATCCTTGAAAACAGCAGCCAGCCAATAATTACCCTCCCACGGTGGTGACACTGCCTTGGCCCCGCCTATGGAGGCGAGTGACAGCAGATGAAGCCAATTAAAACTTCGCACTGTGCCGCTTCCCAACGCCAGCCAATCACCAGTGCAAAGCGTCTTTTCCTCCAATCACAGCGTCCGCGGACGCGCCCGTCGCTAAGGTAAATAACACGAACTGCGATTGGATGAGTTGTCGTCCTTCACCCAATGGAATTAGGGTTTATTTCAGGGTCGGCTGTCGCTGTGAGAAGACCTCTTGTCTACTCTATTTCACATTGATGTGGATTACTAGCGGATTAAAACAGAGCAGCCGCGTTTTCAACTACAAATCAAAATGCCATTCGGGTGGAGAAGAAAGGATCAAATGCCCTTTGTAAGTGGGACTTGTGTTTCTCCTCCTCTTCGCTCAAAGTAACGGACACGTCTCATGACGGCGTTGTTGTCAAAAACCGTTTCTAAGATAAACATTGACACTCCGGAAAATAAATATAACTGGACGCTGCAGATTTTTATTCAATCACATCAGCTTCTCGCGTTTAGGACTCTTCGTAAAATTCAGGAATTTCGGGGCAGCAATTTATATCCATGTGACTTATAATAAACATAGTCTGTGCTACAGGAATTCGATGGATAATTTGTTTTGCACGATTGAGATTGTTTTGGTGCAATGAAGATGCAACTTAGTGCCATAACAAGAAAACGAGTTCGTTCTGAAGTGGGTCAGAGTGCGTATGATGCGCCGCACTACTTTAAATTTTTTCTCAAAACGAAAAGCCAATGACTCCCTCTGCGTTTTCAATTACGTTGCTATCTCCAACTTCTCATTCCTTTCAAGTCCTTGGTCATGTTGTCTCCCAAGTTTGTGACAATCTTTTTTAGATCTCCATACTTGAATCTCACCAATGTGGTTACCAACCCTGCCACTACTTATTAAAGTCACTAATTACATACTATGTTTGTATGACAAACATGCTTCTCTGTCAACAGCCTTTGACATGGTTGACCACATCACCCTCCTCCAGTACACCTTTACCATCATCCAGCTGGATCTTTTTTTTCTATGCTGTTGTTTTTTTAAAAAGTTCTTTCATTTATTGATCATCCCAAATTATCCTTGAATTAGGTAGCTTGCTAGGCTAGTTAATAGCTAGATGTGGGTCGAGAGTCACATCTAGGCCAGTTAAAGGCAGCGAATTTCTCCTGTAAAGGCCATCAGTGAATCAGATGGTTTCATGGGCATCATTATCGAGAATAGTTTATAGTCCTGATTTACTAACTGAATTTATCTTCCACTAGCTCCATGGTGGGATTTGAACCCACAACCTCAGAGCATTAGACTAAGCTTCTGCAATCTTGGTCTAGTGACATTACCACTGTGCTCATATCTCACCTGCAATTTTCATGTGGTCAGAGAATCACTTGCTCTCACATTGTTACCTCTGATGTCACCCAAGTATCTCATCATGGTCCCTTTTTATTTCTTATGGATATGCTGCTCCTCAACAACATCATTTGAAAAAAAAAGCTTAGGTTTCCACATGTACTCTGATGATCCCAAACTCTACCTCACCACGATACTTTTGATATCTCCCTTGTCTCCAAATTGTGAGACTGCTTATCTGATAAGTACTGGATAAGCAGAAATTTACTCCAATTAAATATTGAGATGAACAATGTAGTTGTCTTTAGTTTCTACACTGCCATTCTCTATGTGGCAACTCTGAGGTTGAAATAAGATTTTTGCAAACTTGGTGGCATATTAAACCCATGATGAGTTTCTGACTATATATCAACACTTCTACTAAGATTGTCAATTTTCATTTCTGTATCACCACCTGATTCTGCAGCTGCCTATCTCTCTGCTATTCAAACTCTCATCTAAACTTGGCTAATCAGTGTATTCCTTTGCAGCCCTCCCTTGTTCTCCCCTCCAGAAACTTGATGTAATCGAAAATCCAATACCTGAGTTCTAACTGTCACAATTAGCTTTCACACATCATTCTGTGCTTGCTTATTCACATTAGTTTCTACTAAAATTACATGTCAATTTTAAAGTTTTGTTTTGATATCCCTCCATGCTTTGCCCTCACTATCTCTATAATTGCCGAATGCATCACTTCTGAGGTATCTTTACTCAGAACAGTTCTGGGCTCTTATATTTCCCAAATAGCTCCATCATTGGTGGCCTTCAGCTGCCAGGGCCAAAAGTGATGGCATTTCTGCCCCAACTGTCCATATCTCTCCACATTATTTCTTTAAGAGGCTCCTTAGAGGTGCTCTTTGTTTCCTTTCATGTAACATTTTGCAAATCATGTCAAATTTTGCTTCGTACTGCACTTACATAGTGTCTTGGAATATTACATTTACGTTAAGCATGCATTATGAACATCAATTGTTTCTAAGTTATGTAGAGTGCATAGTTGAATTGAATTAGCTTTATTGTCACGTACTGAAATGAGTATAGTGAAAAGTTTACAGTCGCTCTATACAGAATAGTCTTAGATACAAAGATACCTGGGTATAGATTGAACAGTTTAGTGTTCTAAATTAGGATATTTCTAGGTTCATGAGATAATCACCAAGAATTGCCTTGTCATCGTCAGTGATCACTCACTAATGAGTATGATTGTCCACCTAAGAAATTTCATTAGTTGCTGGTCACAAGAATTGTATGAGGTCAGTACAGGATAGTTGGAGTTTTAAAAGTTGCATAGTTTTAGGTTTAGAGAGTTAAATATATCATCGTAACTGTGAATATAAGAATGATGAGTTTAGAAAATAAATAACAGGCACAGCACTCATAATGTGGGCATTTATGTATCTGCAATGTAGAAATACATTGGTGTGAAATATCAAACGTTTAAAGAAAAGAAAGATTGAGAACTAGCCGATAATTTTGTTTGCCCATCATTGCAGCCATAGGGAATTTGAGGCTCACAGCAGGTTGGACGTGTTGTTGGTACTTGTCTATCAATGCTCTGATGAAGAGTCATCTCGACTTGAAACACTTTCTCTCTATGGATGCTGCTGGACCCACTGTGATCTCCAGCATTTTTTTTTTCAGCATGTAGCCTCATTTAGGAAATATAAGATACAGGTAGCTATGTATACAATTTGCTTTTTGTTTGCTTCTACTGGACTGCATAGGCAGTTTGACATGTGGGTTTCATTTTGAATCATTAGCAACACATCTCTTAAAGCAATAATATAACGGTTGTAAGCTGTCTACGGTAAGAATAATTTTCCAACTTTGTTTTCTGTACAGCTGGGCTATTTGCTAGTATAAGACATGCAAGCTTATTAATACCCTCTGCTGTTGCATGGAATTAAACTCTTGTTTCAGTTACAATACATGGTGGAATTATGGATCTGATTTTATAGTTGATAATCTATTTTTAAATCAAATATTTTCTCTCAGTGAGATAGTTATAAATCTACATCATTTTAATGAGAAAAATACGGTTGCATATTTCTTGAAAAATAGAAATAAATGGGATTGAGGAACAAATGGTTAACTAAGTACAAATACATAAGTAAGGCCTTAAAATTGCAAACTGAAGTCTGGAATATATCTTTTACAGGGATAAAATGGAAAAATAATGGAATTATACCAAATTTGTATAGAATCCTGGTTAGATTATACTTGGGATACCATGTACAATTCTGGTTGCCATTCTTTCTAAAAGTGGAAAGAGGCACAGGACAGGGTGCAAAATGATTTACACGGATGCAGCTAGAAATGCAACATTATACTGAACAGGAATGGATGAACAAACTCTCAAATTTTTATGTTGAAAAAGAAAACATTGAGGGGTGATTAAACGATGTTTACATTTATGGACAATTCTGATAGAATAGACACAGAATGTGTTTCCAGTCATAGACAGTACTAAAACTAGAATGAATTAATAAAAAATAATCTCCAAGATATCAAATGGGGAACTCAGCAGAAATGTCTTTCCTAGAGTGATGATGATGATGTGGAACCACAGGAAGCAGTTGAGGTGACTAGTACACATGTATTTAAGGGGAGGCTAGATAATCATATGAGCAAGCAGGGAATAAATGGTTATACTGATAGTTAGAAATGTGAGATGTCACTCAAGTGGCGCATGAATTACATGGGTTGAATAGCCTGTTTCTATTCTGTAGCTTCCAGGTAATTAGATGAGATTGATAGGTTTTATAAGTCATGAAGTTGGTGGACAGAATAGATGGGGAGAAACTGATTCTGTGGGCTGAATTCTCCCCAAAATCGGCTAAACGTCAATTTTGGGAAGTTTCGTGGAGAGTTTCCCTCCATGATCTGTAACAAATTCTCTCTTTCACTTCTGTGCTGCTTGCCTCCATTATCTATGCACCATGCCCCTACAGTGCTGCTCTTGAGCTATTGTGTGCACACCAGCGGCAAGAGTGCTTGCCACTACTGGGACCATTTGGGTTTGTGTCACCAGCACTGTGTTTAAATCCACCCTGAGTCCCAGTTCAAACCTGTAAGCCAGGAATATCCCTCCATAGTTGCAGCATGGGAAGAATTACCCTGGAGATGGCCCAGGTTGGCACCTTGATTTACAACAGGGAACTAGAGGTCCTCGTATACAGGGTGTTTGGAGGATTGGATGGAGGTTTTCTGCCAGATAGGGGTCATGAGAGAGAATAGGGGATAAGTGAGGGAGGCACTGAGGAGGGAGAGAAGTGGGGGGAGGAGGAGGAGGAAGAGAAGGAGGACTGGGGGATTGAGGACTGTGGCAAAGGTGGACCAGGGCTAACAAAGAGGAGCTTGTGAGGTTGCAGTGAGGAAGACCTCTTCTTGCCTTTCCTAAATACCCCTTCACTCTCCTTCACAGCCCCTATCCTCACAGCTGTTCAGGGAAAGATTTGGCCCATGACTCTAATCTATGAAATTAGTATTAATGGAAGAAACAAAAAAATAAATATCTACATGCCAAAATGTTTTAATAAAATGCTCACAGAATATGCCCATTCTATGTTCTATATACAGATGCTGTCTGATTGTTGTTTCTTTTGGAATTTTTGTTTTGTTTTTGTTTCAGATTTCCAGCACCTATGATTTCTTTATTTATGTGCTATCCACAACCTAAAATGTTTCCTTAGAATAAATTTTGCAATTTGTGTATAGTTAGTGTAGTTGTATTGAATCAATTCTACTGATTCCCTTAGCAAGACAAACATACTTAATAAGCTTTATTTTCACTGTGAAATTTGTATGGATATTTTGAAAGCAATTGAGGCATTTGGTTTGCAGTTTGGATTGATTAATTCATAATGTTTACACTTTTAAAATGTACATGAAAAGGGATTGTAATACATATCCACTTCTATGTTATCATTTTTTTAAATTCATTCATGGGATAATGGCATTGCTGGCTAGGCCAGCGTTTATTGCCTGATCCCTAATTGCTAAGATGGCTGTTAAGAGTCAATACACATTGCTGTGGGTCTGGAGTCACATGACCAGATCAGGTAAGGATGACAGTTTCCTACCCTAAAGGATATTAGTGTACCAGATGGATTTTTCTGACAATTGACAATGCTCACTGTTAGACTCCAGATTTTTATTGAATTCAAATTTCACTATCTACCATGGTGGGATTCAAACCCAGCTCTCTGGAGCATTAATCTAGGTCTCTGGATTGACCGTACAGCGATAAGACTCCTTGGCTATTGCCTTCCCATGACATACTATGTGATGTTCCTGTTCTCATAATTCAGTGTTGGTAGTCTGATACATTGATCATTTTGTATTGTGTTTGTATTTAACGTTTCGTAATTACATAGGGCTGACATGATGGGCAATGATATTACATGAAAGAGTAACTGATGCCAATTTTTGCTTGAACTGCCTGTAAAGGAATCTCAGTTTTGTATATTGGGATGTCATTTGAATTGATTTTTGCAAAGCAGAAATTCGTTTGAACCTAATTTTGTGTCAAGAAGGCAACATTTTCTGATAATATTGATCCAGTACTGGAACATTAACTTTGTTAACTTTGCATATTTTCTCTTGTAGATTTGTTGCCTTGACTAACCAAGCTTTCCACCATTTGTTTAGAAACACATAGCTCATGGTTTGGTTCCTGCGGCCACAATAGCTCCCAGAGCTGCTGTTCCCCGCACCCCTCCACCACGTAGCCCAGAGCCTTCTCCAGAGAGACCAAGGTACACTGTATTCTCAGTTTTATTAATAGTTGTGCATGCTTTTTGTTTTAAAATCATTAATCTAATAGACTTGGTTTACATAGACGTTCAATCTAAGGTTTAAGTTAATTATCTGATCACTTTCACAACATTTTGAGGTGCATTTTGACTGTCTGTTGATATTACTGACTTGTATTTGTTGCATCATATTTGATTTGCTATCCTAAACAATATTTATAATTGCTAATTGATCTGAAATTACTGTCTGGATGAAAATGATGTGCATTACCTAGATCATATAAAAAGATGCATTGCTACTCCTTTGTAGCATTTATACATAAACAAATACATCTTAGTTGTTACCTGGGGTGGGGTGTTAGCTCAGTTAGCCAGAAGACTAACATGTGGTTCAGAATATTGTCAACAGCATAGGACTTCATTCCAGTTCTGGTTGAGGTAGACTTGTAGCTTAATAAGTAAAACCATAGCATAAGCTGTAATTTAGCGATCCACAAATAATTGAGGATACAGTCTAGAACAGAGGAAGTTGTGTGGCAGCATTGGGAAAAAAATCAATTCCTGGGTATGTTAACCTAGTGCACTTCTAAAAAATGTAAGCTTTGGGATTCTGCAAAGGATAATGGAATTTGAGTAGAGATAAATAATCGTTAGCTGTATTTTACAGTGAAGTCTGAAATCTTAGAATTGAATTTTAGTACCTTTTGGGAGCTTACTACAAAAAAAAGAAGAGCTTGCAGTAGAGGGTTATTTTGAAGAAGAGGCAGGGGTGTAAGGAAACACAATTATGATTGTCATTATCATCTTAGAATAATGGAAATCTGATAATAAAATACATGTGCAAGATTTCAGTTTGCAAAATGTACATTCTTGGAGAGCAAAACAATCATTAATTTTTTTGCCTGATTGCTTCATATACATAGCTCAAAATTATCCTGTCTGAAGAATGTTGTATTTTTCAACATGTTTTGTTCTGTTGTACATTGAACTCATTCACAATTTCAGGTCAGCATTGGCAGCAGTAATTTTAACTTCGTGCCTGACTGGTCGTACAGTTGCCATTCCTCAACGGCATTTGACAGGACTTCGTCAAAGATCTTATTCTGAAAGTGATGGCACATTTTCAGAGCAACAAAGCCTTCTTGAACCTTATGCCACTGTGGCTGATCTGCAGTTAAGGTATTGTACAACAAATTGATGGTGTCTTAATTTATTCTGTGCAATTGCTACAAATACCTGTGTCTGTTTTACAGTGATCAGGTCTGGTAGCATCTGTGAAGAAAAAAAAAATCAGAGTTAACGTGATAAATATTTCCCTCCCCTCCCTTGGCTGCCTTCCACAGAGACCATTCCCTCTGGGACACCCTAGTCTACTCTTCCTTCACTCCCAACACCCCCCATAGCCTCACGGTACCTTCCCCTGCAAGTGGCAAAGGTGTAACACCTGCCCATTTACCTCCTCTCTCCCCACTATCCAAGGGCCCAAACATACTTTCCAGGTGAAGCAACACTTCACCTGCACTTCCCAGAATCTAGTCTACTGCATTCGCTGCTCACAATGTGGTCTTCTCCACACTGGGGAAACGAAGGGTAGACTGGGTGACCACTTTGCAGAACACTTACGTTCTATCCGCAAAAAGACCCTAAACTTCCAGTTGCCTGCCATTTTAACACATCACCCTGTTTCCTGGCCAACATCTCTGTCTCTGGCTTGTTGCAGTGTTCCAATGAATGTCGGCGCAAGCTGGAAGAACAACACCTCATTTTCTGGGGGACCCTGCAGCCATCTGGACTCAATAGCGAGTTCAGTAATTTTAGGGCCTGAACTCTCCCATGTCCTAGGCCCCTATCCCACACACCAGACCTTGTTATTACATAGCCTGCCATTACATACTGCCCATTGTTAATCAGTAACAGACCCCATTAACAGCTATTCACCCTTCTCGCCAGATTGTTATCAACTCCTTTGTCTACCCAACTGCTCTTCTCTCTCTTCGGCCTCTATCCTTTATCCTATTGTTTACTCCTTACCCCATCCCCCTACCTATTTTCTGCATTTAAATTGACATTTTTCCAGCTACCGTCAGTTCTGAGGGTTACTGGACCTGAAACATTAACTCTGATCTTTTCTTCACACATGTTGCTGCACCTGCTGAGCTTTTCCAGCAACTTCTGTTTTTGTTCCTGATTTGCTGCTTCTGCAGTTCTTTCGGGTTTTATTTAAAATGATCATGATTGTTGCAGATTTTCAATCAAAGGTGAGAAATAAGCTCTGTTAGATAACTGTCATTAATTAGCAAATTAAAATCTTGCCAACATTCTTTATCCTCCTTGTCTTTTCAGGTTAAAATTGATATTCTCAATCAAGAATTTCCATTCTTCCACTCTAATGTGTAGAAGCACAAACCTCTTTTGTGTCATGTCTCTCAACAGTTGCTAGTTCTCATTATTTGCGCACATGTACACTGAAAACTCAAGCGTTTCACATTTTATCAATCATTAGTTATTTGGAAGCTCTTTGTTCCAAAATTGTTTTAACCTAACAAAGTCTCAAGAGATACCTATCCTTAACATTGGTTGGTGACTTTGCCAAAGTTTGAGGGTTAGAGGGAAATACTTGCACTTTGTTGCATTTGTAAGCATCTAACCACTTGTTAGCATAGAATGCTTACCTGCCAAGGTAACAAGAAAGTCTGGTTGGAAGAATGGTGCAGCGAGCTTATCCAGGCTGGCCCCTCCCTGAAATCATCTGGTGACTGATCCCAAAGCCTCCTTGGGCTAACTGTAAACACTGCTCTGAAGCAGAAGTTCAAGGTTTTTTCAAGGCTCCAAGCCAGGATCCTGATTTGGATTCTAGCTGGGCTGACCGGACATTGATCTGCCTTTTGAGTTAGTGTGTCAAGGAATGCAGGAACTCAGATTGTTAGTGCCCTGGTCGTAGCCATACTGTTGCCATTTCTTGTATAAAAACTTTCTAAAAGATGCACTGAGGCTGTTTTTCTTCAAAGCTAAATTAGAATTGTAGTGCTATGCTTCAAAGTTTATATATTTACTGATGTCCAGTGCCATGTTCTAATTTTATGTAGTTTAGGATGGGGTTGTTTATAATGGAATGTTGATGAAAGAATTGTGGTGCGTCAAAGAAGGGATCAGGATGTAACCGAGACTTGAAGTTTGTGTTACAAGGAGAGGCTGGATAGGCTGGGACTTTATTCCCTTTATAGAGGTTTATAAAATCCTGAAGGGCATAGATAACATTAATAGCCAAAGTCTTTTTTCCAGGGTGGGGAGTTCAAAACTAGAGGACATAGGTTTAAGGTGAGAGGGGAAAGATTTAAAAGGGATCTGAGGGGCAACTTTTTTACGCAGAGGGTGGTGCATATATGGAACGAGCTGCTGGAGGAAGTGATAGAGGTAGGTACAATTACAGCATTTAAAAGAAATTTGGACGGGTACATGGATAGGAAAGTTTAGAGGGATATGGGCCAAATGCAGGCAAATGGGACTAGTTTAGTTTGGGAAACTTGGTCGGCATGGATGAGTTGGACCAAAGGGTCTGTTTCTGTGCTGTATGACTCTAAAGGTGCATGTATGGAAGAAATTGGTTTAATACAAGTGAAATGCTGCTCGTTATGAAATGAATTCAATTTGTCAAAACCTGTGTAACCAGTTTAATTGTTCGTTTTTGTTCAATATTGAAATATCTCTTTGATATCTAATGACATGGATGTACCAAGTTCCTTGGATTCCAGGAATGATCTTACATTGAAGGTTCTAATCATTCATCCTCAACTAATTTCTTGCTTTGGAACATAGAAGTCTTCGAATCACTTCCTTCCCCTGTTTTAATATTCGTTATCTATATTCAATATTTGTGCATGAATTTTACCCAACCCCCAACTGACAGGAATTTGACAAGATCCGGATGGTTTTACATTTTCCTTAATTTTACATTTATATTAAAGTTAATGGAAAGCAAAATCAGGCTGTGTGAAAGAGGTGCCTGATTTGGATCATATCAGTTAGACTAAATTGATTTCATTCTTGAATCTGATTCCTCTGTTCGTGAAATTAACTTTCCAGTATGTTTGAAGTATCTTAGTACATCTTTTCTGTATGAATTATTTCCTGATATTTCCACTCTGTGTAACCTTATTGTCTTAATGAGCCTCATTGTAACTTTGTCACACCAGAATCTCGTTTAACCCTATATTTGCATTGCACGTAAAGCTTCTAACTTTTATTTCTAATTTAACCTTCAGCCTCACCTACTAGAAGATTCCATAATTGAATTTAACCCAAAAGTTTAAATGAGTGACTAGGTTAGGGGTAGCACTTTTTAATTGCATCCATGCACCTATGTAAGATTAAACAAATATTTTTTAAAAGATAAGAAACCTGCTACTTGGCATTTCACTCCCACATTTGTTTTCCTTCTCTATGAAGGAAAGAAATTTGAGTTTTCTTATTGTTATCATTATATTTTGGTAAGGAGACTCAAAGGCAGTTTTCCACGGGAGGGAAATAGTTGCTGCTGAATAAAAACATCTTATACCGAAAAACTGTAGAATGCATTTTTTCCTCATTTATGGTTAGGTTATATTTCAAAAAAGTTACACAGTTCCTCAATTCCTTTCATGGGGCGTTAAATACAAAGGACGTGTAGCTTTTCATTGTTCAGTTAAGAAGAACCTCATCAGTTAGTTGGATGCAACTGGCACAGTTTTTTTTCCATTACGTTGATAGGAACCACTTGATGTTAACAAAAGTCTTCCCCTTGCAATGTATATTCTTTAATAGGTTTTTATTGGCAAGTTGTTCAAATAAAAAGAATCCCTTAGAATATTTTGGCCATGATTTTTGCTGCATGGTATGGAGTGTGGAGATGTTTCCTGGCCCTACAAACCCTATCCAAGAGAAACTGCCCTGGAGTATCAGATTTTCAATCCAGGGTGACAAAGTATCCTGGAATGGACCGGACAACCCAGGAACAAGCGTGGAGGCAGCCAACTGCGGGTGTGGTCTGGGGACACGGTGTGCTTTTGTGCATCAGCACTTTGTGGAAGTTGAATTAAACACTAACAAAATGAATAACAGCCCTCACCCACATAGCCCATCCTTCCCACATGCAAATCTCATTCCCCATTCTTGCTAACACATGACACCTAATTCACTGCACCCACCCCATGAGCCCCCACGTATTCCTGGTTACTTTGGTCCCTGTACCTGTTCTATGCTGAGCCACACCTTATGTCCCCCACTCATCCCATGGTCTTTTATTGTTCTTATGCCACCTTCACATTCATGTTCCAACCTATGCCCTCGCTTAGTATTCACCAAGGGCAAAGGTCTTCGAAGGAAACCAGGCTGACATTAGTTTCAGTCTATTGATGTGTCACTGCTTAAAACAAATAACATCCATTAATTTTTAAAAAATCAATACTTTAAAATTTCTGTAACTAATCTCTTTTGAATACAAACAATTGTATTGTAAGTTATTTGACAATTCTAATTGATTTCTGCACTTTTTTTGGCACATACTAGTCTAATTTTAACAATCCGAACTGGATATAGGCCGTTGTTTAAGCAGCCAATTATCTCCCCAAAATGCATATGCCTGAAGCTTGGGCTATCTACAGACCCACCCTGCAAAACTTATAAATGATCTCTTTGCAGTATAACTTTGACTTTTGGCGGGTTTTGCCATTTTCTAGTGTAAGGCACTATTTTGTAACTGGTTGAAGAATTCCTGCTGCATCTTTTATTCAAAGCTTTTGAAACATTTTTAAGCTTGTGCAAATTAAACTGTGGTCTAAGATTCACGGTTGCATATAATTTTTTTGTATTAATCTGGTAAATACATTTCAAGTAATTGTGGAAATCTGTTACTGGTTTCCATTATTAATTTTCATTATCTTTGAAAAGGAATGAATGGCAAAGTCCTGTTAGAGGCAGGCCTCAGTTACCACTGCCTTCCGATTCTGATGAAGAATGTAATGAGGAAGAAGGAGAAGATGATGACCAAGATGTGGAACTGTTGTCCGATAAAGCAGACCAACCACATTACTATGTTCTCGAAAAGGAGGGAGAAGTATATATTAAAGAGCCAGTATATGCCATTCCTCACAAGGCAAACCAGGTGACTGTTTACATTTTGCAATGAAGGTCTGAAAATAAGATTCATACTAGACATGAAACGTTAACTCTTTCTCTCTCCAAAGACACAGCCAGACCTGTTGAATTTCGCCAGCATTCTCACTGTTTGTTTCAGATTTCCAGCATCTGCAGTATTTTACTTTGTTTGAATGCCAAAGTATTAAGATGGTACATAAATCGGCAGAGTTTCATTGTAAATTCTGGTGATGTCTCACTTTCATTCCAAGTGTAAGGAGGCACAGACTTGAACATTTCTAGTGCATAGCCTGTTCAGCCATCCATTGCTATTCCACCTGAAACTGACGGTGCCCTTAGGATTTCATACATGCACAAAATAATATATAAATCCCAGAAGTTAATCACAGTGATTTAATACTTCTGTGTGTTGTTGAGATGCCCAAAACCACAATCAATTTGGTCATAGCTCACAAAAGAGTAGCCACAGGCCTTCTGCCTCAAAATACATGTGGAAAAATGTGCCAGTGGTTAGTTGAAAACTTGCTCATAGATGTTCCCCTACGCTCTTGTGAGAGACCAGAGTGATGTGGATAGAGGGGCTTAAGTTGACCTGGAGAGTATTGAGTGGCGGTGGGAGGTGAATGGGGTTTTGAGTTCGCATGGGTGGACATGTAGTATGTCAGCTTTGAAGGGATTTGAAGGGCGGGGCCTAGAGGGTTTTTAGTAGAGCTGGAGCCAAGTACCAGCAGGCTGTGTTCGCACTTGGCAGCTCCTGTAGTTGTTTCTGCATTGTTTCCAGGGGCTCCAACTAGCACTAGCAACCCAATCCTCAACTCCAGAAATGAAACTCTGGGCACTCACGATAGCTGCTCTTGAGTCAGAAATGGGAAGTCAGGAATTTTCCCAGCACTGAGTACATGATGGAGGAATGGAAATTGAGATCTGGCAGAGACAACTTGATCCAAATGGTCTTTTTCAACAATAATAGTTATTTATAATCCTCTGTTTAAACATCCAGCAATATTGTTGCCAC